GTTCCAGACCACTGCCCTGGGCTGAAAATAAAAGTGTCACTTCCTGGGAGCTTGGAACAGGGGTGACCGAGTAACTTCGCCCCACCCAGGCCTGCCCTCCAGCCACAGGCCAGTCTGGGTGGGGCCCCAGCCCCTGCACCAGAGGGGCCCCCCTCCTCGCGGGAGCCTCCCTCAGCTACCGCCCTCGGACAGCAGTGAGTCCCTCCAACCAAGGTGACCCCCGACAACTGGGACCGCCACCTGCCTCCTGGTCCCACAAACCTCTTCTTTCCCTTCCCTTGGGCCTGAGAACCAGGAACTGGGGAGAAGATGAGGCCCCGGCTGGGTCCGGCGCTCCCTGGCTCACCTCGCACGGGGCTGACCATCATAGCTCAGCCCGCCGGACCTGCTACAGCTCGGAGAGCCCACCTTTGCCCACAGTAGGTCCTGCGTGCCCCTTGCGGTGGCCTAGTGGGCCCAGTGATCCAGTGGGATCTAGCGGTTCCTTCCAGCCTCACTCATACACCTCCAACATTGTATAAGCTAGATGGTGGGGTGCACACCCCAGAGATAAAGAACACAACTCAGTTCCCTCCGCCATGGTGTAGGGGAGAGGCAGAGGGTTCTACCCTACCCCCACCAGCCTCCCCACCACTCCAGGAAGGGCCCACACACTCAGCAGTAGCCCAGAGCCAGGCCTCTCTGCCCCACACGGGAGCACTGAGCATAAAGGTATCTCCGCTCCACACGGGGGCAACCGGCGTGAAGGCACAGAGTCTAACTGATTCTCATCTGGGGCTTTCGCCATCTGACAGTTGGGGCCTATTTTAAGGCCTCAAACAGCTGAGATTTGAAATGGAGCATGGTCTCTGTAGTCTGCTCTGGTAACCTACTCTGGCCACTTGCCTGCCAGCTCCCCAAACTCCACTCCAGTGGGGCCACATCAGCTCAATACCTTGAAATGGTTACCCTTAAGACAGAGTCCAATAGTCCCATTTAATGGATGAGGAAACTGAGGCCCAGACAGCAAAGTTGCCTATCTCCTCAAGCTCATATCAAGAGTAAGTGATGGAGACAAGTCTGTGATCTTTTTTATCCCAAGTGGAACAGAGAGGGAAGCCTCTGGAATTCTAAACAGGGCAAATCGGGGCAGGGGGGCTTCCTGGAGGAGGAAACTTCCTGTGAGCTGGACCATAAAGAAGAAATGAAGGGCCTCCAAATACTTGGACCAGCCCTGGCCTGTGGGCCAGGTAAGGACTCCTGTGTTCACCACTGGCTTATTCCACACACCTGTGCGCCAGCAGAGGCAGCCTGAGCAAGGCCCTGCTCACCCTCCTGTGTGACCTGGAGCAAGTCAGGACTCTCCTGGACCTCTGTTTACTCATCTGTAAGATGCAAGAATTGGCCAAGCAGAGGTCCACCGTTTTAGCTATGATGCCTGAAAGAATCGAAGGACTTGGTTCAGTCCCATCCTACCTACCTCTCCAGCTTCTCAGCCACACCTCACAGCCATCCCTGCCTCCAACCCAGCTTTGCGAACGTCTGGGGTTTCCAGAGCACCCGTGTTTCCCCGCCTCCGAGCCTTTACTCCAGCTGGGCCTCTGCCTGGCCCGCTCTCTCCCACACACCGGGGCGAGCCCTGCTCTGCGTTGGCGCTCAGGCTCCTCCGGGAAGCCTTTCCCGAAGCCTGCACCTCTCCAGCGGCTGGGCTGAGATCCCTCCTCTGTGCCCCATAACAGCCAGCACTGTCATCCATCAAAGCCATAATCACAGTTTCCCCAGACTGGCTGCAACCCCTGGAGGCCAGAGGCCGTGAACGAGTCAGGCCGGATCCCCGCCTGGGGCGGAGCACGAAGCTCGAAGACCTGTCTGAGAAGCGTCTGCGCTCACTAGAGACTCCTTTCAATAACAGAGGTTGCTTTGCTGCATTTTTTCCCATTTAAAAAGTGATACAGTTGAGCGACCAAATAAATAAAGTAGCACTGAATTATAACCCAGAGTATAAAATAAATATTCAGGAGGCCCTGCTGATAAAAACACAAATCAATCACTTACGGATATAATAAATGAGGAGAACTAACAAGTGTCCCGTGAGGAATTTAAAATAATGTATGTAACGACTGTGCCCTCAAGACGGGGTTGCCGACCTCCCCATCCTGAAGTGTGGGTCGTGTGCAGTGACTTCCTTCCCGAGAGCACCGGGTGGGCGCAGTGCAGTCAGTGGCGGGCCCGTGGGCTACCTCTGCCAGGGGCTCCAGGTGGGCAGCAGCGACGTGCTGAGAACGGCCCTCACCTCTGCGGTCTGCCTCCCAAAACCACAGTACTCAAGTCCGGCCACAGGAAAACGACCAGACAAGTCCCTCTGAGGAATATTCGACAAAGTGCATCACCCCTCAAAACTGTCAAGGTCACCGAAACCAAGGAAAATCAGAGAACCGTCAGCCGAGAGGAACCTAAGGGCTGACTGGAACAGGGGAGCTTGGATGGGCTCCCGAAACAGAAAAGGGGCATCAGGGAAAAGCTGGGGACATCCGAATAGAGTACGGACGTCGGTTAGTAACAGCGCCCGATGCCAACTCGTCCACCGTGTCAAACGTGCCTTATTAACGTGAGGTGGTATCACTGAGGGAAACCTGGCGTGGGGTGTCCACGAACTCTGGGTTCAACATTGTTCTGGAAATCCCAAACCATTCCAAAATAAAAAGTATATTTTAGAAAGCAGTCATGCTCATTGCAGCAGATGTGGAGACGAGGGAAACATAGAAGACCATTCAAGCTCACAGTCTGTAACCCGGAGACCACCACGCCCTTCCCTCCCCACCCTGTTGCTACACGGTTACATCACCGCAGGTGTGAGGTGTCAGGCAATGTCTTCCAGTGGAATTCAAGAGTGTTTGGTGGGGGGATGTATCTGGGCAGAGGGGTCGTCTAGGGGTCCCCACCTCCTGCCATTGACTTAGGACATGCTTTGGGTTGCCAGAAAAACCAGGTCCAAAGTGGCCACATTAAGAAAGTTCTCTGACTCCCCTACCTGTGCAACTTTGGGTTAGAAATCATCTGTGACCCAGCAAATTCTCTACCCAAACCCAGCAAAATCCCGAGGCAGGCCCTCCGACCACTGGACACGGGAGGGTCCTCCAGTAATGATGTTCCTGAGGACTCCATGATGGGCGATGCAGTCCCAAGACACCAAGGGCCAGATTTAACCCTCCCCGAGGGGCCGCATCTACAAATAGCCCTCCATATGCAGGGCAGTCACCCTTGACTGGCTCCAGATGAAGATGAACCTGGTGATTAACACATCTGGAGGGTGGCTTCTCTTTTTCCATCCAGATGTACAAGGCCCTGCCAGAACACCTGCCACCCGACTGCTGGGCCACAGGGCAGGTCCCAGCCCCTGCCCTGTCACAGAAGGGTCCAGAGGATGACCCCCACTGGAATCAACAAAGGACCCCAGCCCAGACACGGCTGCTTGAGCCGGTCATACAGTCTCCCAGCGTCTCCTCCTTCTCATGCCTTCTACTCGAGAACATCCCCCGGCTCCTCATGACTCACACTATAAAGTGTTTCTCAACTGAGAGCAGTTTTGCCCCCAGGGGACATTCGGCAGTGTCTGGAAATGTATTTGGTTAGCGCAACTGGAGGGTGCTACTGGTATTTTGTGGGTGGTGGCCATGGATACTGCTAAACATCTTACAACATACAGTTCAGTCCCCACAACCAAGAATTCTCCAGCCCAAAACATCAACAGTGAAGGTTCAGACTCTTTCGCTTGTCACTCCAAGCCCCTACCACCTCCTGCCCCCCAACCTGAAGCCTCCAGGTTGGTCTGTATAGTGTCACCTGCACAAGCCACTATCCTTCAGCCTCCACACCTCTGCACACCATTCCTCCCCCATCCATACTCCCCACAACCCAACTCTATGCCTCTGCCGATGGCACCACCTCCAAGAAGTCTTCCCTGATCACTTGCCCACAGATTCTCCAGTTCTGTGGGCAGGCACCGATATCACTTCATGTCATGTATGTCAGGTCCCTGATGTCATGTACAGGTGAGGGCCTCAGACGGCGTGATCAAGAAGAAACCTTGAGAGTCACAGAGTCCAGAGTTTATAGAGCAGCCTCCTGGCCCAGGCAGCCTGCACGTGGATTCGGCTTGGCTGGCACAGGGATATTTTTTACCTTCAATCAGTCACCAACATGGAAGTATCAGAAGACAGGACATCAAAGCCTGTGTTCCCTGCTTCTCTAACCATCAGGAGAGTCACCGCCAGGGCCATCTTCCTTCATGGCAACACTCAGCAGAAACAGAGCAGAGGCCAGAGTGAACCCAGAGAAGGCCCCCAGCTCACTGCAGGTCCAGCTGCCCCACTATGCTCACACACACGACCTGTCTGGCCCCTGGAGGGACTGGGCTTCGGGACCTCTGAGCCGGTCCACACTCCCTGCACACCCTTCATGTTATAAAGGGGAACTGAGGCCAAGGAGAGAAGCTTGTCCAAGGTCACACAGCCAGTTAATTTCCGAGCACAGGGAAAGATCCAGGGGCCTGCTTCCCACGAGGCCTCCTCTGAGTAGCCACACTGACCTGAGAATGTTGCACAATCTCAGAGCTGGAAGGGTCCCTAAGGACAGCCAAGTTGCCACTGGCTTCTTTCAGAACCACTTGCGTTAGCAGAAGCTAGGCAGGCAACCACTGAGCTCCTCCCAAAATCAGTGTCCTGGGGTTTGCTGGCTCGCCTCCGGTGTGCAGGCCGCAAGCGCCCTGTCTGACGCACTACTAAGAAGAGGGCGCTCAAGTGCGTCAGGCACTGCCTCGTAGACACAACACCCTTGACCCTCACAGCCCACCTCTCAGAGGTGCCGTGATGCCCATGTGTCAGAGGAGGACACTGAGGTTAAGCAAGTAATCCTGGGCTGCACAGCTAGTAAGTGGTGAGGCCAGGACGTGCACCCCGGAGCCTGGAGCCAGAGGCTGTGTGCACCCCAGAGCACCTCCCCTGGGAGGGCTGGGCCCTTGCCTGCGGCAGGGAGCAGGTGCAGCAGGTCGAAGGGTCAGAGCAGCCCAGCGCAGCATTCGGTCGAGGCGGATTTGGAGGAAGCCCTTCCAGGCCCATGAGAGAACTGTTAACCACAGGCCATGAGTCAGCCTGGGAGGAAGGTGCCCAGGCCTGGGGGGCTGGGTATGGCATGACCGTTGTGGAGGGGGGGAGGGGGGTCTGGACAGGGCAGAGCAGAGACCCAGACCTTCAGCCACTAAGCTGGGGGAACCTCTGGCCCTGGGGGGCTGTGACTCTCCCAGAGTCAAGGCTCCACACCCGGAGGTGCATACCAGCCTTCAAAGTGGAACCGCTGGGCCTGTTTCCCCTCAGGTTCCCCCATAAGAGATTGGACCAGGCAAGTCCCCCAGCTAATTAGACAAAGCCTGGAGCTTTCCTGGTGGGGAGAAGGTGTGGGGAGAAGGCAGTGGTTTGCCTGAACTGTAACTGTAACTAAGAGGACTCCTTCCTCCCTCCCACAAAGGGAGATTCCCACTTGTTGCCCAGGCCGGTTGGCGGGGGGTGGAGGGGGTGAGCTGGAGCTGTGCCTGGGGCTCAGCCTCATATCCTGGCGGCAATCCCAGCCCCCCTTCCTCCCAAGAGTTCTGGCTCCCAAAGCACTTTCCCATCTGGGGTTCCGTTTGCACCCGGTTGACCTTGTGGCTGCTATTTTGTTCCATTTTACAGAGACAGAAACTGAGCTTCAGAGAAAATGTGAGGTTCGTTTTTTTTGCAACAAGGACCCTCCTTCCACCACTGTTCTGCTCAGGGGTCTGCTACAGGGTGCCCTTGCTCCCAGTTCTCAGAGCGGGAGACCAAGACTTGAGCAGGATCCCACAGAAAGGTGGTGAGCACCAGGGGCCCCGCAGGTCAGAGGCCCTCATACACTCACACACACGCGCGCGCGCACAGCCTCCGCCTGCCCACAGCCTCCGCCTGCCCCACACTCACCACATGGTAGATAGCCAGGGCGGTGGTGGCGATGCGGACGTTGAAGCAGCAGCAGGTCTGGCGGACAGCCATGCTGGGGGCCATGGTGCTACTGTCCCCTCCTCCTAGGCACTGAGGGGAAAGAAGCCGGGCTCCTGGAGCAGGACAGAAAAGAGGAAGCTGCCAGCTGCCCTCCTCACTTCCTTCCTGCCCCTTAGACAGGCAGGGGCATGGTCGTCACAAGCGGGGCGGGGCAGCTGGGAAGGGCCACAGCCTGCCTAGCTGGCCCCTGCCTCTCCTAGCAGGCTTCCCGGGGGACAGACCTTGCACCTTCAGCACTTATCTACCTTATCTGAGCAGTTTCCCACATCCTGCTGACCGGATTTTCATCCCCACCCTTGGAAGCAGAGATGGCCACCAAACGCATTTCCAGATACAGAAACAGAGGTCCAGAGAGATCAAGGCATTCACCCAAAATCACACAATAGTGCTGGTAGAGGATTCAAACCCAGGTCTGGCTGGCTGCAAAAATTACTATTATCTACTAATCCTTACCTGTTTAAGCATGTTCCTGGATTAAGTCCTTTAATCCTCACCTCAACCCTCTGAAGGAGGTACCATTATTCCCCCTATTTTACAGGTGAAGAACCTGGGGCCCAGGGATGGGAAGTGATCTGTCCAAAGTCACACAGCTAGGCCTAGAGGAATGGAGATTTGGACCAGGGCTAACTGGTTCTAGAGGCTGCCCCTTTGAAGCTGGTACTTTCTTCACTCTCCCCGCACCCTCCCAGAGAGCATGTTCTTCCTGAGCTCTGTCCAAACCAGAACAGAAGAATAATTACTAAGTAAATCTATCAACTGCATGTCAGGCCTGAGCTAGGCTCTTTCTACTGCTAGGTCATTAATTCTTCACAGCAATTTGGGAAACCCTCCGTCAAACCCCCCTTTGTGGGCCTCAAGGCCCCCAATGATCACATGCAATCAGGGATTTTTTTCACCTCACTCTTGGGAAAGGTTGGATTTAATAAACCATGACTATTAAGTAAGCAACACTGGGATCTATATTCCCTCTCGGATGATAAATGATCCATATTGCAATAAGGGAAGGGAATATGAGGCACTTGCAAAATTCCTGTAGGAATTCTGCTCTGTCCAGATGCTGAGCTCACTTGCAAAGTAAAGCTTCTAGTGGAGAACACTGCAGAACCTATCATGAAGCCCCGCCCACAAATGAGATCATGGAGTTGGGATTGGCCACTATGGCTGCCCATCATTTCTGCCACAGGAGAGGTTATAAAAGGTCTCTAAGCTGCTCCCCCTTGACAGGAGCTACTCTATTGGACGCATAAAATTTGTCTGGTAGACTTGATCAAAACTTTCTGTTTGCCAATGAGACCAACGGGGTCTACCAGCATGGGGCTCCGGGGTGACCCAGCCAATCCCTTCCCTACTTCATTTTCAAGCCTGCTTATTTTTCATCACAGGCTTTGCTGAGACCAGACATTGTAGAAAGGTGGTATAGTGTAACAGTTAAGCACTTGGGCTTCAAGAGTCATGGCCTAGGTTCAAATCCTGGCACCTCTGGCTGGGTAGTCAACACAACAAGAAAAGTTCTACTTTGCCAAAGAGCACCAGGACCAAAGGGACTGGAGGTGAGGAAGTGTGGCCAGTGGGACCTGAGGGCATGCTGAGGAGTCTAGATTTAATTGTGCTAGGAAGCCGCTTGAAAATGTAGCGCCATCATAGCGTTAGCCATTGATAATGTTACAATTTGGTGAAACCAGAGCAGGTTTGGAGCGAATTCCCAAAGAGAAGGCTGAAACCCACTGCTGGTATATGAGACCATTTATGTGTTATGCAGATGAACACTTTCTCTTTACAGTGATAGATTCATTTTAATGTGCATTATAATTAAGTAATGAAAGGTCTCCTTTTAAAACAGATATATTTAAGTTTTTTTTTTTAAAAAAGCAGTAAGTTGATCTAAAGAAATATATCAAGGCAACCACAGGCCAGGAGGCAGGCAGATGTGGCAAACAGCCGTGGCGGTGGAGTGGGCATCACCGGCTTAGGAATCCTGGTGGGTAAGAAATCCCACAGTCGCTGCGCGATCTCAGACAAGATGCTTGATCTCTCTGAGCTGTTGTTTCCACGTTAGCAGAGGTAGAAGCTCCACCTTGGCACGACAGTGCGATGAGGTCACGTGCAAACTCAGCTTATTTGTTTCCTCCCTTCCTGGCCCACCCTGCTCCCCTCCCCCACAACCACCCTCAGACTGCTGGGAGGCAGACCTGGCGTTTAAACCCTGATCTGTCTGATGCTGTCTTGGGCCATGCCTCCGGGAGGGGCCAGTGAGCATGAGGACAGCCTCTTCCTGAGCAAGTGGCATCTCCCAGGCACTGCCTCCCTCCCAGAAGCACTGTTCTGGGAATATCAGGTCCGATAGAGATCAGAAGAGGCTAACCTGCTGGCTCCGAAGATGGAGAAAGGGGCCAAAAGCCAAGGAAGACAGGCAGCTTCTAGGAGCTGGAAAAGGCAAAGGGAGAGATTGTCCCTGTCCAAAGGCACTGCCGCCCTGCCCACTACTTGCTTTTAGCCCAGTGAATCCCATTTTGGGTGTCTGACCTCCAGAACGGTAAGATGATACATTTGTGTTGTTTTCAGCCACTGACTTTGTGGTTACTTTGTTACAGCAGAAACAGAAACCTCATACATCTCCTCATCAGAGTCCACATGGACCCCGGGTCTCCGACACCAGCGCCCAAGCACACCCCACGGAAGCCACAGTCCCCGTCGTCACACGCGCAGACCTCACCGTGTGGCCTCGGGCGAGTTGTGGACTTCTCTGAGGCTCAGATTCCTCCTGTGTAGAGCAGAAACACAGGTTTGTGAGGACTCAGTAAGAAAATGCCCGTGGGGGACAGTCACACCACCCATGCCCCTTATTCCTGTTCTGCCCTTTTCCGGTACAAAGGACAAGTCTTGAGCTCCTCCAGGCTACTTTTTAAACTCTGTTTCTTAACTGGTGGACCCTGGGAAACGTCAGAGCTCCTCCCGAGCTCCTCGAGATAAGGAGGAAGAAATGTTCCGCGTGTCCACAGTCACAGCCAGACGGAGCTGGAATCGCCTGTGTCACTGTCCTCCTACATGTCCCTTCTGACAAGGGAGTCCTTTAAGACGCACTGACTGCAGGGGGATTCCCGTATCCCAGAAAAGCATCTTCAGTCCTGAAAGAGACTGTAGTTCTGGCTGGTTGTCTTGGTTACTGATTTGCGGCTGTGGTGTCTAACATGTCAGCAGACATCTCTGCTCCCTCAAAGGAAGTTACGAGTTTTCTTTGTTAAGCCAGAACATCACCAGCACTTCCCTCTTCACCCACATGCCTGAGGGTAAAAATAAAACCCACGACTCTGCCAAGTTTCATATTTAAACAAAGAGTTGGAGAGTCTTGCGTCCTTTCGATGTGTAGAGGGTCTGGCTCCAAGTCAGGACTCAGCAGTCGGAGCAATGCTGATTATGATGGCCGCTGGGGTTATGTCTGTCCTTCGCCAAGCCCTTCCATAGCCCACAGCTCAGCGGGCCGCCCCTGTCCCAGCCCAGACAGAAAGGCAGCAAAGAGGTGTTGATCTGTGCCTGGCAGGCCCAGGAGGGCAGCGGCTTGCCCCCGGAGGGCGCACAGCTGGGCAGCAGCAGAACGGGGTCCTGTCAGGAACAGGTGCTTTGGGGGCATGTGAGGTGCAGCCAGGGGTTGCTTCAGGGCTCTCTTCCCCCGGGGAGCTCCTGGGTGCCCTCTGCACCGTGCCAGGCCGAAGGTCAAGCTTCCTGCCAGCCCACTGGTCTGCAATCCCTTCCCTGCTGCCTCCCACCTCCCTCCCACCGCCGACATCTGGAGCTGTGGCTCGGAAACTGAGAAATCACACAAGACTCCTCCCCTCATCCTGCCCCCAACCTCATGCTCCCAGGGGCTGGGGCCTGAACGTGAAACCTCAGGGTTTCTCCCCTATTCCCGTGTCCCTCAGAGGGTCAGCCTGGCCAGGACCACCCTGGGCTTGGGGACAGCAGGCCCTCCAATAACCAACCAGCCAGACCCACAGCTGGGCAGGGGCCCCTGAGGCTGTCTGTCTGACACCCCATCAAGAACGTCCAGAGGTCGCTGTCCCCAGGGTCTGTGGATGCTGCCATGGCTCCAGAGACACAAGGCCCCGGGCAGGAGAAGGCAGCACTGCCAGAAGGGACACTGACCCC